TACATTGAGCAGTTGCATTAAGTGCCGCAATGTGCACCTCTGCCTACCCCCCTGGGGATAAAAGGCGTGATGTTATGATGAATGCAGTCAGATTCGAAAACAAAAGTCATAAAATTGACAGACCGTTTCAACATGTCATTAAAAAAAAATCTTAAAAACTCGCGAATCATGAAAGACGAACTCGTCACTGTTTAAAATAAATTATTGTATGTTACTGACCTTTTGGGTTGCACGTGCATCCGTCGAATAGTGAATTATAAACAGAGATGAAATAAGTTGCTGTTGAGATTTTGGACTCTTTGTTGAGGATTTAAAGTGAGATATTTACTTCTACAAAACACACCTGATTTATTTGTTTGTATTGTAACTTTTGTGAGACATACTAAATAAATTATTATGTTTTCGGCTTACTCACGTAATAATTTGACGAGGAACTCGACTAGTTTCAAGCCATGCTAGAGGCTGTTGCGCTGCTACTAGCAGTAGCAGAGCGACAGTCGCCGCGTCGCGGGTCGCGAAATGCTGCTCATGAATATGAGCCTCTAGCATGGCTTGAAACTAGTCGAGTTCCTCGTCAAATTATTACGTGAGTAAGCCGAATACATAATAATTTACACCTGACTTGCTTTAAAATTCTTTAAACTCTTATATTCTGAGACACAATAGAAAACTCATTGTGTCTCACGTATATCTATGTATGTTCCGGCTATACCATGGGTTAAAGTTACTGCAATGCATAAAGTTCCTGATTCCTGGAAACCTGCACCTGATGCTTAAAAGTTATACTTATTAGTAATGTCCTCTGTTCACTAACAACTAACATTGTATAAAGTAACAAAATATTGATGATTCGAATTTAGCTTGGACGATAAATAATTGACATAACCATTCAGTTTCAATAATTAATTTCTATGCCAAGAACTGAAGGCTAACGTATGGAAAAGCTACTTAATATTTCAAATTGACATATATTTAGGAACTTAACATGACATTAGACAAAACATGTTTGTTGCCTGCTTTCATTATTCCTTACATATTTTATTATTACCGTGACTACGGCTAACGTGATATTATTTATAATTTAGGAAACTATCAATCAGGTTTGGAATCATTTAAGATTCAACAAAAGTTGCCCTATACTCTTTCTTTTGCTCATAATATTATAATACTCGAATAAATGTCGAATTGATAATAAACAAGACATTTCTGAACAGGAATTTACTCTATTATGATATAATTAACACTCCACATCTCACAATTAGGATCTATCACATATATAATTACCACGAATTTCATAAACTAATTTCCAAATCTATGGGTTATTTTATTGGACATGCAAACTCAAAATATCTAAATTCTCTAATTCACAATTATATTTACAATAACAATAAAATCCAGACAGAAATATTGAAGCCAAAATTCACCAACAATTCAAAAATTTACAGTACACAAATATGAAACCAAACCAACGTGGCTGTGCCCGTAGCTCAACAATTTCCACTTCATGGCGAGGTGGATCCACAACCTAATTACGTAGGGATGTCGATATACGAAATACAGCCTCGGTTCGGACTAACCAGATGACTGTCCACTCTACTAGTATTGTAATCTCATATTTGTATTCTGGTGTAGATAGTAGAAATGATATTCTATTTTGTTGTTTTTTTAAAAATATACTATAATGAGTTGTTTCGATGTTAGGTCTAGTCCTAACGCTAAAATGCTGAGAACAATTTTTCGGATTCAATCACAGAATGTCAAAGTTCTAATTAGTAAGATTGAAATTGATGGTTAAACAACAAACTCAGTCTCTGTATCAATAGGTTAAATAAGATAAATATCAAAGCGCTTGTATCCGATATGAGATGGCAATCGTAAGACTACGCTATGATATAAGATCACCATCATTTTGTTAACATCATCTTTCCAGTTAACCATCTTTGAATCCCACGAACACGAAATTTTTCGTAATTGCATTTCCATTATTAAGGTAATTTTCGAAATTCTCACGTTTTGTCAAACGCCCAGATTATATGGCAAATGTAGGTGAATTCCGGTTTCCCAACAATTGGCTGTTAACATTATCTTCCGTAATTATTTAATTTTTTCTCATCACCATTGTAGCCCAATTATGATAATTGTTATGATAAAATGAAGTTAGTAATGATTACTGATTTACATTGCAACATGTAAAGATTTAAAAGATTATGTTCTTCTCCAATTCAAAAATCTTTACATAGAGAGGAGTGGATGGAGGGTAGGAGGAGGCCTTTGCCCTGCAGTTGGACGAATATGGCTGAAAATAAAAAAAATAAGAAAATAATGTTCTTCACCGAAGGGGTTTGTCTGCGACATTCTTCATCACGTCACGTCGTCAACCTCATTCCAATTAGAACCAGACATGTTAAACATACCACTACAATTCCTCAAAATTAATTCATCAGTTTATTTTAAACTTAAATAAATAACAAACAAAAACACTCACATTAAAATATGCATATAACTACAAGGATAAAATTACTTCTAAAGCTCTTGAAAATTGCTCATGTATCGACGTATTTGATTATCCATTGCAAAAACCATCGAGTAAGTTAATCATTCATAAAAACACTTGATGGTGAGCATTGCTACACGAGTGCAAATGATGTTAAGTGCACCACCAACACTTGTAACAGATGGCCATCACTCACACATCGTACACTAATCCCCAATGCCAGAGAAAGTGGGTCTCGTTTCATAAGATCAATGTATACAAACACACGTACATACTGTTTGTTAGTAGAAGCTACATACGTACACAGTTACACGACCGTAGTCATTGTTCTAACGTTTAATTAATCTTGCTTATGTATGCATTTCGGTTGTGTAGTTCGCGCCATTCATTGGTTACAGTGAGTGCTAGATGAATGGGAGATACAACATTGTGGTAAATATCTTTTGTGTCATTACGAACATGACCAAATATACCTATAAGTGATATAGAGACAATATACGCGCGTAAGTATAAGCCCCTAGCGTGGCCTGAAACTAGTCGAGTTCCCCCTCAAATAGTTACTTGAGTAAGCCGAATAACATAATATTTTAGCGGCATGCAACTTGATACTACAGCAAGATTCTTCCTCCGTTTTAACACTAAACACATCCATAAAACATGTTAGATAATTTGTTTTAAATTACCGGTAATAAGATGTTAATCGACGTAATAATTGTTGACACCCCATCCGGTTGGGACATAATTGCAATCGTCAATACGAATGTACTCGAACAATAATTACACCAAAAATGATGCATAGCACAGCAAGCTACTTTTGCTTTCGTCTGCAACTTTCGCCAATCACATTTTTTTATGAACATAAATTATCGAGACGATCAAACCATATGAGCAATGTCGTATAACTTGTAGCTACGTAATATGAATGATTATATCAAGAACTAACGCTAGAGGCTACATACCACTTTTTTCTTTTTGCAACGATAATTAAAATAAATATTCTATCTCTATGGCGCCAAATAAACGTGCGAAGATCTAGGCTACATTTAGAATATAAAATAAGGCACCGAAGACCCAGCAATGCAAGTAAATGGCACCTGTCCGGTCCAAAACGTGGTTCCTATTTCTATACGTGACTCCGAGTACAGGCAATTTATATCTCCACTGCGAAACAGGTTGAAAACGTCAAGTCAATAAAAGTAAAAAGCATTGGGTTCGTTCTCAGTTTAACGAACACTTTTTTGTAAATAGTTTCTATTCTGCACAGAATTTAGCCGCGAACACAACCGTGTTTTACTTATTTATACAATCACCTAGTTTGTCTGTTACTCAATGTTTATTTACGTAATTTTTAATCCTTGGCTTATTGAATTTTGTTCTTGAATAATTTTTATATCTATCATTGTATAATTTATTGCTTTCAACATGCGACTCCGCCTTTTTAAATGGGAATCCCAAGAAATTTGCCCAGATCGTTAAATAAGGCGTGCGTGAAATACGAGCAGACTTGGGAACATACTTAACATGGTAATCTCCTTTGTAAGTAGGTACTTTATGTCGTTTTGTATGAAACAAATTGAGATATATGTTTAGACTTCACCGCGGTGTCCTAAACCGGACAAAACCTGCGTGTCTCCAGTCGGTTAACCGCGGTTTTACCTTTTGTGCTGCTAACCTAGTTAGTATGCGGCTTCCGTACTGCGCATGCGATTAGTTTCAATGATTTCGGTCTAACATTGGCTTGAAACACACAAGTTCAACGTTTTCATTAAAATTCCAGAATAAATAGTTTTTAAAAGTTTATAGTACTTTGGCTAGAAACCTAAGTTGGATTAAGAATGCAGCAATAAAATGTCTGAGCTACGGGTATTTTTCATGAATACTAATTTTAATACGCGAATAAAAAGTAAGTTTTGTGTTGTAAAAGTTTTACGACACACATAACTTGAATGACAATGACTCGTCGATAAATAAGGATATTTTAAACAATGCGCTGTTTCGCCGATTCTGACTGCCACGTAACAGCTAAAGAAATAACGTGTCAACATTCACGATACTGAGTCACAAGTATGGTACCATCACACCTTGTTTTCTCCAAATGTGTTGGTAAACAAAGACCCACCTTCCTTCTGTAGATCCACCCAATTTCCACATTTTATATTTCCATTTAATTTATAGCACAAATCCAGAAATCCAGGCTCTTGGCAAACTGAGGTGCAGAATATCCCATCAAAACACTTACCTGCGTATTTTAATATCATATTTAATCATGCATATTATATTATCATGATTACGTTTACATTTTGTGACTTCTGTGACCTCTGCGTGTCTCTTCTGAAAGTAGTCAGACAGGAAATGTCGAGCTCATCTAGTTACTAAACTGTTGACGTGTAAAAACCTAATTTTATAGACATGTGAATAAAATATCATACTTCATCATCTTGTCAGTACACACCCGGTCTCCTATGCTTATTTAAACTTAACTAATCGTTTCTTCTTATTGTTACAGGCAAACTGGTTCAAAGCCCAGCAGTACTGCAGGTTCCACGGCATGCACTTGGCATCCATTTCTTCACAGCAGGAGAATGATAAACTGGAACAGTACGTTAAGGACTCAGGTAAATATACTGCTTTTTATACGATGATTTTATAGTGAACAGAGAAGTTTGAAAGACTTGGTTAGAAAACTTGTGAACGAGACAAGACTTAAGTAAATGGATAGTGATCATACCAATAATGATTAAAAGACGCTGAGTGAACACCAAGCCAAGCGCTATCTACTTAAATAGTGGTATTTACCAGGCAGATAATTGATAAATATTTATGTATATATGATATGACTGCCTCGTTGGCCGAGTGGTCGTAATTGTGACTGCCGCGGCAAGGGGTCTCGGGTTCGATTCTCGGGTCGGGCAAAGTATTACTGGGTTCTCAGTAGTAGCACGGAGTCTGGAATTGTGCCCGGTATATGGCAATAGGCTCACCCCTTATTACATGGGACTCATAACATAAATAGTGAAAAGTGGGTGTTACATTGTACAGTGGTATAATGTGCACCTCTGCATACCCCTTCGGGGGTAAAAGACGTGATGTTATTTATGTATATCTTGGAGCCCAAACCTCTAGGACCATATAACGCAGCTTTGCATATAGTGTAACTTTAACAGATAGGTACCTACTTTTTGCTCCCCACTAGCGTCTTCTTCTGTGTCGTAGATATAAGTGTTGTAAATATAAGTGTTTGTAGAGGTAATGTAGCAATAACCTTTTGTAATAAAAGTACATTTATTACTAATAACTAGGTGGATACAACAAAATAAAGGAAATACCAATGCTTTAATTACAGTTGCAACTTAAATACCAAGCTATAAATTACATGTAATTTCACATTCCGTACTTATGTTCCGATGTGTAACCTTGCAGGTTTCGGCCGTGAACACTTCTGGACATCAGGCACTGACTTGGCTGAAGAAGGCAGCTTCTTCTGGATGGCCAACGGCAGACCGCTGACCTTCGTCAACTGGAACGCTGGAGAGCCCAACAACTTCCGCTACGAAAATGGAGAAGAAGAGAACTGCTTGGAGCTGTGGAACAGAGACGACAAAGGTCTCAAGTGGAACGACTCCCCCTGCTCTTTCGAGACGTTCTTCATCTGCGAAGTGAGGTCTGATTGATTGCCCCCTCCGCTAGATGTCATTAGTTGTTGTGTGATTGTACAGTAGTGTGCTAGATGTCGCCATTTGTTATATTACTACCTGCAGCTGTGCCTGCGAAGATACTTTTCGAAACTATTGCGATAGTTTCTTGAAAACTGCACCCTGCCTGACCAAGTATAAACTGCGGGAATTAAATGCCCTATTTTAATGAGAATCAACTGATCTCTTTTGTATGTTGTAACTTGCCTTTCCATAACACTGAAGGAAATATAATAAAATGTTGTTTATAAACCAAATGTAACGTAATGTAGGTAACGTTGCTGTGTATGTTCGTATGTTGAATGAAAACACTAATCAACTTGTTAATTCTCTATTTTTCTTAACCTTACATTGTGTTCAAGACGATTGGTAACTTTGCGAAAGGAAATTATGTCAAATCAAATTTCGAAGCGAAAACAGTTCGGTCAGTATAGATAGGTATTGTAATATTTAAATATTTGATTATTTATTTGTTTTTTTTCACGACTTCGATTGGGTCGTATTCGGTAAGGGTTTTAAAGAATTGCAATAGATCTGGATAATATGTAACCTTTTCTTAAATGATGTAAACGATCACTGCCTAATGATCTTTAATGAACCTCCGAGCATGTGCTCAACGGGACACTCGTTGTCCATAGTCAAACATAGTGGGTAAATAAAATATAGTTACCGTAGGTGTAAATGTATAAAATAGTCGTAAGTACAGACAATAAAACTCTTAAGTGTATTTTGTTTTGTTTTATTAAAACCTTATTTTTGACCTACTCTGGGCCTAGAACCTTATAGACATTATTTTTAAAAGTAAAAGTGTATGCAATGTTACTATTGCCATTAAAAATATTGGCAATTATTACTCGTTACTCGTACGTCGTACACCCGTTTCAGAGAAGTAAACCTACTAGCCAAAAGAAAGCAGGTAACACTAAAATATAATTACAACATTCCCCGCCTAAAATACGTAAACGCATTAACAGAATCACCTTACAAAGCAATATCTAATCCAGCCCTGCTTACCAAAACTACAACGAAAACAAACCACAAACAATTCCTACGTACGACCATTTTTTAATTTTCCACTCGATTGCAAAATTCAGCGAGAAACTTACGTCCTACAGCCTACCATCCGTTATTTCCTGAAAATTTCATGCGTCCGCCGCCTATCGGGTGGCGTATGTAAATGGAAGGAGGCAGTGGGGGCTGTAACAGCTGAGGAGGTGGGGGGGTGAAGCACGTGCTACCGAACTTATTAATAACAAAGTCACGTGTTTACTGAAGCCTTCACGTCTTCTACCTTTCTGTACTGTTCAGTGCTGGTTCAGAAATCAAAGGTTTGCGTGTGTAGGATTTTATTTTATAGACTCTAAACCAGTCAGAGAGAGACATAACATAACATAACATCACGCCTTTTATCCCCGAAGGGGTAGGCAGAGGTGCACATTATGCCACTGTACAATGTAACACCCACTTTTCACTATTTATGTTATAACTCCCATGTAATAGGGGTTGAGCCTATTGCCATATACCGGGCACAATTCCAGACTCCGTGCTACTACTGAGAATTTTGTAAGTTAGAGAAAGAGTCCTGGTTTTTTACTTGAAACAGATGAGTGACCCCATAAATCGAGTGATGATAGTCGTTCCTGATCCCTTTCCTGACGTAGGGATCAGATAAATACACCAATTTGTAAATACAATTTTGCACAATGCTTGGAATTGCAGCTGATTGTAGCGTGATAACCAAGTCTCTGTTGGGTTCATAACTCATAATACAAGTGGCAATAAGTGGATTACATTTAGTATGCAACCTTGAGTTACCCCTTGAGAAAATAAAAACAATGTAGACTGTAATAAGAAACAAAATAATGCATTAAAACCTACCCTATCAAGAAATGCATACTATGTGAGTGACAATGAGAAACAAATCAATGAGAATCGTGGTGAAGAAAATTGAGCTTTATTGTCCTCAACTTAGGAACTTTTTTCTTAACTTTTAGTGTCACTGCCGCACTCTACTATTTAATGATTACTCAAACTATTTATAGTAACGATTTTGTATCGTAAGTACTAGGTTAGGTAACCCTTAAATTGCTTTAAGTATGGCAGTTAGATCTTAATATTAAATGATAGTATACTCACTCTAAAATATAGTTATTTATAAGATAAATGAGTGTTTCGTTGAATACAACCTCTGTGGGTCGTCGGAACGGAAGCCGCCCCCCGCACCCCGCCCGCCCACAACCCACCAGCCAACACTAGCAGTGCCCAGCTAAACAACGATGTTATGCAATCACTCTCGTTATGTAGTTAGAGACTTACTTTATTAATAGAACTTCAGAATTTTAGTTAGTAAATGTTCCTATTGTGTTAAACTATAACACTGGTATTATGGTTTTGTTTTTATAGGATAAAATCTGTTAATCTTTTTTATTTAAAGCCATAAAGATGACCTTAATCAGTTTAAATTCATAACGCCTTGCCTAATTCGTTCATTCTATGCACAAAAAAATCTAATTACGTCTTAATCATGCGTCTGACCTTATAAATATTTTTACTCGAAGCATTGAGTTCATAAAAAGTCACAACGCAATATTAAAATAACAATAATTTACGTGAATGGAAATTTCATATCATATCAGTAAATACGTTTTTGTTTAAACATTAGATCAATACAAGTATTGTTTGTTGTGTTTGTCCTACAAAAACGGCCTTCTTCCTTTATCATGACACCATAAAGGCTTAACGACAAACAGCATCCAGAATCCAGACAGGGTGTAATCCTCTAAATTCCCGGCACCTTCCCTGGACTATCATTGCAACCCATCGAGGCGACTCATTTCCGCACCCCGCCGGCAATCGGTCCCTAAGCCCAGAACCACGAAACAAACAAATTTAAACTCTCCAACATCGAAATAAAACATATTTTCCCACTACAACAACAGACTCTGAAGTTCCTATACCTACCAACAATGGAATACAAACCTTATGAAACAGTACAAAGGGTATTTTTTCCAAGGGCAGATGTGACCTTATTGCAACACAACACTGTATAGCTCAAGGGTATATAGTTAGATTGAAGATATTAGTGTGTTTAGCCGTTTGTTATCATTCAAATATCCGTTTGTATGATTTTGCTTCATTTTAGTCAGGGGGCCCATGTAAGTAAAGTGCCTATGCAGTAAAAAAGGCTGAATAAAAATTGCTGAATAAAAATTGCTTGGCTGTATGTACGAGTTCCTGCGTCACGTCTCCCTCTGAATAAATAATAATATGTCATATCATGACTTTTTTCTTTTTTTAAGCCCTGTGTTACGCGGGTTTCGCCCCAGCTTTCAAGCTTTAATATTTTGAAACCAAATAAGAATGTGTATTAAAGTGAATGCTGTTCAATTGATGACTGTAGATTTGATGAATAACCTGTCTTTAAAAGTATGATATTGTTAAACTGTCAAACACCAAGCGGTCACCGGTGACCGCAACCTATTGTTCTATAATTGTGTCTATAATGACGGTACTCGACGAGTTAATACAGTGATTATTCAATTGAAACATGAAAAATAACATATCCGATAGGGGTACTTTTTTAGGAGAAATATCGTCCAAAGACCTCTCCCGCCGTTGGTGAAGCGAGAGGGAGTGTTAGACTCTTACTTACTAAAAACCACCCTACTTCTGCACTTCGAGCTGGAGCCCCGACAACCCGTTAAGCCTTCTGAAACTCCGTTTTGGCATCAGCCCTATTAGGCCCAACCGTGGTAGTCTGATAGCTCTTTGAGGTGCGCGCGTAACGCGACGCGCCGTACGCTGGGTCTAATTCTGGTCGGGTGGCGAGTTATCCATGCTCACTGTCCGCCTGTTATAAACCCCTTGTTTTCTAGTTATTTCAATTAATCGCTTTCTTCTATATACAAACCATTATATCTCAACGTTCAACCACAACCCATAACTTATAAGGACAGGTGAACCTCAAGTGCACACAATCCCATATAATTTACCGTTCACATGGGAAATCAGAAAAACCACAGAGTGATTGGCATGTTTATGTGGTCCCTGATACATATAACATGGAACTTTTGACCCTATAACAGGAGCATACGGAATTAGGAGGTTGTTGCCCTTTGTGACTATTTTTATGATCGATAAATTCAATGATTAAAGCTAGTATGTGCAAGAAGTTACACAACTAATTTGTAATATGTAATAATTTTAATTTTTATTAATAGTGGTAATATGTAGTCTATGTATTGCATTTATTTATATATTTATGTATTATATAGTAATTATATCATATTATATGTATGCATATTTGGGATATATATTTATTATATAATTCATTTTATGTCCCTATACCCTTAGTTATGTCTTATCGACTATAACTATCATATCTTCCATCTTTAATATTTTATTACCTTAACCGCCGAGGGAGCTAGTATCGCTCCTCAGGTATTGGTATAGCAATCAGAAGAATGCTGTCAGATGGGTTGACGCATTTAGTCGGGACTATAAACTGAAATGCGGGGTGAGGCAAGGGGGGTTAAGCTCACCGACTTTGTTTAACGTTTATATGAACCAGCTTATTGGCGGGCTGAGCGGAACCAAGGTCGGGTGTTCAGTCGATGGCACAATGATAAATAATATCAGTTATGCGGACGACATGGTCCTGCTGTCCCCATCAGTCAATGCGCTCAGGAAGCTTCTCTACATATGTGAATCATACGCCCAGTCGCATGGACTCAAATATAATGCCAGCAAAAGTGTTCTCATGGTATTTAAAGCAGGGAACAAGGCGCCTTCGAATGTGCCGCCAATTAAAATCGCAGGGTCGGCACTAGAGAGGGTGTCCAAGGTGAAATATTTGGGTCACATGCTGACGGAGACGCTACTGGATGATGAGGACTTAGAGAGAGAAAGGAGGGCGTTGGCAGTCCGCTGCAATATGTTGGCCCGCAGATTCGCACGGTGTACCACAGATGTAAAACTATTACTCTTCAGAGCCTTCTGTCAGTCATTTTACACGTGCAGTCTGTGGATCAGATTTACGAGGCGGGCTTATAATGCCCTGCGTGTGCAGTACAATGATGCAATGAGGGCAGTGTTGAGGAAACCCAGGTGCTGCAGTGCTTCCGCAATGTTTGCGGATGCTTCCATCGATGATTTCTTCTGCATCATTCGAAAAAGAACTGCATCAATGATGAGCAGGGTACGTTCAAGCGCCAATGCTGTCCTCAGAACGTTGGCTTACAAAATAGACAGTCCGTTTATTGTGTACTGGGCCAGTGTACACTTGCTTAGAAATAAGAAATAGACTCCTGTTCCGAACTATTAATTTACTGTTTTCTAATTATATCATATTATATGTATGCATATTTGGGATATATATTTATTATATAATTCATTTTAAGTCCCTATACCCTTAGTTATGTATTATCGACTATAACTATCATATCTTCCCTCTTTAATATTTTATACCTTAACTTCGTTATCTACTACTTCATACTTTCTTTTTACAATTTTGCACCTACCGCTTTAACATTCTGCACCACCCAATGGTCGACTGTCAGATAATGCCTACGGCATTAAGTCCGCCAATTACACTGTATGTGCAATAAAGTTTAATAAATAAATAAATAAATAATTTGTCCCTAAACTCTTTTCGGTAAAAGAATTAATATAGATACTGTGGTTTCAAATATTCATGTCATATGTGTATTAGCAGATTTAACAAAACCATGAGCTTTTGCTAGAAAAAGGTAAGGTACTTATGAGTTATAGCTAAGTAAGTAAATATAAGTAAAAACTAAGTGTTACCTATCGAAAAAAGTATTAAAGTACTGTGTACTAAGTAGATTAACAAATACAAATTACGTTGCAAGAAAAACACGCAATAGGATCGTTAAGAAGTCGTATTACTAACTGGTACATCAAGCTATCCTTTTCCAGTAAAAATTATTGGATTTTCAACCTTAGCAATTAAAGCCTAAAATCTATATTGACAATTTGGAATAGCTTAATGTGCTGACTATAGTAATATGACAAAGAAGAAAGCTTTGATTGTTTGTTTGTCTATGTTGAATGTACACTGAAACTACTGTACTCGTTTGAAAACACGTTTCGTCATTGCCTTTTTTCTTTTATGGGCTAAGCCGGTAAACGAGTAGACGGATCACCTGATGGTAAGCAATCGGCGTCACCCATGGACACCTGGAACACCAGAGGCGTTACAAGTGCGTTACCGGCCTTTTGGGATTAGGAACTTGAGGATTGTTGGGGATTCAGGGATTGGGGAAAGGGGGTGGCTGTAAATTGGGCCTCCGGTAACCTCAATCACACGACGAAACACAACACAACATTGTTTCACGTCGGTCTTCTGTGAGGCCGTGTTATTACTCCGGTCGAGCCGGTCCATTAGTGCCGAAGTATGACTCTCCCACACTTAGGAAGCTTGATTTTCTACGACGACTAAAATAGGCTATGTTTTACACATATATTTGTACAAGAAGAAGAATATTCTTCTTTATTCCATGTGGGCGGAGCCGCTGACGGAAAGCTAGTTTCGTCAAACTAATAAGGGTTAATAAGAAACTGGGTCACGTGTAACATATTAATCTTGATAGATTGACTAAGTATTTCGATGATTCAAAGACTGGGTTGATGACAGTGATTTTATATTGCACATCATGTCACGTTAGTCACGTCAGACGTCCATGTTACTGATGACATTGTTGAGATTAATCATAAGTTACTGGTTACATCTATACAGCATCAAATAAAATTAGAGTGTCTGTCTGTAATATTAAAATAGGTAAGTACTTTTTTCTACATACATATGAATATACATACGATACCTACACATACCAAAATATTTTTTACAGTTTTTGATTTTTTGTCTGTCTGTCTCTCTGTCTGTCTGTTTGTACTAGAGAAAGGATGGACCGATTTTGCAACATGATGTACTAAGGAGTAACATAGGCTACTATAATTTAGGAAAATTGAAACAAAAATAAAGTTATGCTCTAAAACTCATATTCTACGCGGACGATGTCGCGGGCAACAGCCAGTCTTTGTTAAGTAACATTATCATGAACACGGCGGTAGATCAAGCTATAAAATCCAGTATAACGTGACCTCGCTTTGTATGATCATTCCGCACAATCAACAGTCAGTTTATACTGGTTTTGTATCTCTCTATGTGTAGCTGTGTGGACTACGTGGTGGAAAATGATGACGTCATGCTTTGAGGGGTGAACGCACTGCAATCTTGAGTGTGAACTATGTGTGTATCTTGTTTTACTACAAAGATATGAACAAGGAAAAGAAAATTCAATATCTTTGTAGAAATCGGTCAAATAATTAGGTTTTCATTCCATATTTACTGTAAATAAACTGAGCAAGCAAGAAGTTTTTTTTTTTTTGAGGGGCGAAAATCATCCAATGACTTCTCTCGCCCGGGTGAGGCGGGAAGGAGTGTCAGACTCTTACTGACTAAAAACCACCCCGTTCCTACTCCTGCACTTCGAGCCGGAGCCCCGGCAACCCGTTAAATCTTCCGCGGCTCCGTATCGGCATCAGCCGGGTCGTGAGGAGGTTCGTTCCCTCACGCGCTCCGCCTCCTCCTTAGCTAGCATAGCTTATTGCACCTGCCATGCCCTGTCTCAGTAGATACCACCTTAAGGTAGACTGGCATTCCGCGTGCGCCTCAAAGAGCCATTAGACCACCACAGATGGGGCCCAATAGGACTGATGCCCGATACGTAGCCGCTGAAAGCCTAACGGGTTGCCGGGGCTCTGGTTCGAAGAGCAGGAGTAGGAACGGATTAGTTTTTATTCAGTAGGAGTCTGATACTGCCACTCGCCTAACCAAAGGCTGGAGAAGTCATTGTTCCCCCATCAAAAAAAACGTAGACTGGCAGATAATGCCTAAGGAATTAAGTCAGTCATAAATAAATAAACAAGTATGCGGTTCACCTCATGAAAAGCAGGTACTCTAACTTTAACGTCTGCACCATCACCCAAGTTCTTGTAATTAAGAACTTAAGAACATAAAAATTTATCTATATTAAGTTAAGTACTCCCTCACCTATTTTTTGCCCCACACTAGGATTTTCTCCTGTGTCGTGGGTGCGTTTACAAACATACAAGTTCACATACACAATGACACCCAGACCGGGAACAACAATTTGTGGATCACTCAAAAAGTTGTTCTGTGCGGAAATCGAACCCGCGTCACGTTCTGCGGCAACCGGTTGCCCAGCCACCGCGCCAACTGTACAGTCTTCAATTTATGTACTCTTAGGACTATCAATAAATCTGACATCCTCTTTGCGTTTGTCATTCAAATCTACATGATCAGAGAACGAATCACCGAAATGATACATACAAGGTCCCTGTCAAAAGGCTTCAGTACAAATATAAACCCGAAGTAGCTTTCAAACAACATAGCGATCACTCATATGTGCTACATCTTTGGTAATTCGTTTACCATTCAAAATCTGGCTCGATGACAGGCACAGACACGACCCTATTCAGCCTGTCCACGGTTTACATCAAAGGATATGCGACTATGTTAGTTTTGCCTCGATACTAAATATAAAACTTGTGATAGAAATAACGCTAAGGAAATAAAAAGCTTGTAAGATGAAAATGATAATAATTTTATTACAAAAAAATCTTTTTTCTTTTTCATTTTACTAGTCAACAAGAGATGTCGGACTTCATATGACATGTTACATGAATTTATCTTCATCAACATCATCACTATGAAAATATTTCCCGAAGCCGTCCCCCACGTAGTTAAAAACCGTTAATAAACATCCAAACACAATTACGGCTGTAGGAAACAGAAAATAAAATTGGCAATATAAATAGATGTTACAAATTAATTGGACGTTTTCCGCCAGTGTGGCCGTTCGCCGCTCGTTAAAAATCTCATCAGCGACGAAACGAGTCATTTCACTCTCACACCAATTGCTCGGCCCCTATAATCCCTACGTAAACACTCGTTCCACCAAAACCAAATATGAACGTACGCGTCAGATTTGAAAATCGAATAGTTTTTTTTTTTAATGATTTAGAAGTAAATATGGTATTCTTATTTTAATAAAAAAGTGGCCTATGTTAACATCAAGGAGGCTTATAAAATGATGATAATTTTAAAGTAAAGTTACGTATTTTAATGAATCGAAATATTCGCATTTCTTTTAAATTGTGAATTGATTTAATGATGGCGTTTCGGAAACTTTTTAGAGTGTGTGGTGTGGTCACCGGTAGACTGCAATAGCATAAGCCTACCTAGATTTTATACAATTTAAAAAATAATCTTTGGTCTTTCTTCATTAACAACCAAGATGAATGGAATAATTACGAGTTCCATTCAAGGATCCCGGTCTTCAGAGCTCGTGAATTAACCCGCGCTTTCCACGTATGAAATCATTTATAATCTATGCATTCACAAAAGAGCCACCGTCAAGTACAAAAGTGGCTAACGAGGGAGAAATGAGACTGCTTTTTGAAAGGCCATAATTAGGAACTCCGCGTTTACTGCCATTTTTTAGTTTTTCTTCATTTCTATCTGAAATACGAACAATGTCTGCTGGATGCAATTTACTAGAGCTGCAAACTTCAAAAGGAAGAGAACAACTTTGACATTTTACAGTCTATTATAAAACCGTGGTGAACCACGGTTTACCACGGCAAGGATTTATTAAATCTCAACCGAAAACCGACCTCAGAATTAAGAAATGCCGTTACTTTGACTAGAACTTTTTTATTATTTACACTGTGCAATTTACTTCAGGCTACGAGCATTAAATTCTCTTTTGATTGCACGCCATTTTAAAAATGCTGGCCACTTCTTATCTGTGTAAAAAGAATTGGATTTTTAAAAGTAAATTGGACCTAACATTTAATTTAATTGTTTTTGAACTCTAAAAATTAATAAATTCAGTCTAACCACAAGATACAAATAAATAAAAGAATGTTGAAAGTGTTATCAAGAAGACTGAAACTGAAGCATTAACTTCTGTTCATGGTAAGTAATATTAATGTTGAAAAATGTAATGGAACTAAAAAAAATATATTTTCGTCTCACTTCGTATTTATATTCGTAAACAGTTGTTTCTAATAATGTATACGTAGGTTGGTCTATACGTAATTGACAAATTATCGTAGAAATAAATCCCATCTAAGTACTGCTAAAAATAGCTTTAGAAGAAAAATGCATATAGTGAGGTTGGTAAGTTCATAAAACCTTTCGGCCATAAACCTTTTTCCTTTAGCAGTGAACTAAAGGGAGAGTGGTTGCTAGGT